CCGGTTGACCCATGGGATTTGATACGAGATTTGATGCACCGTTGGAGCGAGTGGTATCAAATTTGATGAAATGGGTCATTTTTTACTCAGATTTGGTGAAAAATCTGATTCACCGTTAGAGATGTTCTAAAAAAAATTTAACAAATGGTATTGTAGAGGGTAGAAATCCCAAATCCCAAATCCCAAATTCACCATCTACAAGTATGAATTCTAAAAAATTTCTAGCAAATGGCACTTTTCAATGAGTATTCAATTTATTATAAAAAAATAAAAATAAAAAAAAAATTATTCTTAGTCTAAAGCCCTAGAAAAATTTAAAACAAAACAAATTAGGGTTGTTTTGAATGAACTATATAAGTGCACTTTTTAAATTTTTAGCTAAAAAAGTAGAGAAAAAAATATGTATGTTTGAGATAACTTTCTGATTTTTTATGAAAAAATGTGTATTAAAATATTATATCAACTAGAAAAATTACCTTCATATCCTGTGTTGTACTGTGATTGTATTAAAATATTGTTTGAGTTCTATGCAGTGTACTGTGCTGCACTGTGATGATATTAAAATATTGTTTGGGTTCTGTGCAGCGCACTGTGCTACACAGTTTTTTTTTTCTTTTTCACCAAAAATGTCCAATGATGTATGTAAATAGTGTTAACTTTTTTACTTTTTCAGTGACTTTTTGACTTTTTTAGGGGATGCCAACCACCAACTAAATGTATGACCCAAAAAAACTCATAAAACCAATTTTTATGTTGATACTAAACCAAACCTGCTGTTTTTTTTTTTGGCAGTCAAACTAAAAACTACTTACTACATTTTTCTCTATGTCAAACGTATTCCAACGATAAAATGCATGGAGACGGGAGAATGCGACTTACGGAGACGAGAGAGAAATATGTTTGCATTAACAAAAATGATTGGTAGTTTGAATTTGAGTTTATCCAAATCATTTAAATATGTGTATTTCAGTCAACCAATTGAATAATCGGTGTAACACTTGTTTACTGAAATTATTACCTTTATCGACGGCAGCGGTTACTTTATTGCCGGATGACCAGCAAGCCAAAATTTGAACAATTTGGACAAATAAAAAATCGTGCAATGTAACATTGTTGTTTGCGCCTTTTTTTTATTTTTTTTTATTTTTATCCTTCCTCATTCTATTTTTGTTTTCATAATCCAAATTTCTATTATAACCTTTTAATTATTTCTTGTGTTATGTTAAGTCGATTGAAACTCACTCTCCTAATTTCAAGGATAAAATTTTCTTAATGTGGTGAAGTGTGGGATTTTGTTCAATCTATATATGTCTTTTAATTTTTTCTCAAAAAAGAAAAAGGAAAAAAAGTGAAGTGTGGGATTTTGGAACTAGGTAATTATTGGGAAATTTTATTTTCATATATCCTTTCATCTCTGTACACATCATATCTTAGTTCACACATTTATGAATTTGATTATATATTATTAGGATAATTCTATTTACACACCATCGATCCTCTCAATACACATCATTACTTAGTACATATACATAATAATTTTTAGATTGTGAAAATATCTTAGTTCATACCATAACTTTCCTCTTTTAATCCTAAGCTAATATACTGGTACACACCACCACCAAAATATTAAATTTTTTTATGTATGAATATTTAATATTTGATCAACCTTAATAATTTGAACAAAATAATTTTGTTCAAATATAAATAATTGAACATTTTATAAATGTTCAACTCTGGTTATTCGAATAGGTGACAAATAAAAAAGCCATCTTTTATACGAACGAGATAAAACAAAAAAGTAAATTGACCATTTCATTGTTGTATTGTTTCAAATCAACATTTTTAAGTGTCGTCCATAGTATGCAAATCTTCAAAAACTAATTGATTTCAATGTTGTTAAAATATTAAATCTTTAAAGGCGATAATGATTTGAGTTTGGAAAATAATGGTGAAAATTATAATGGCAAAGATTGAAGTATGGAGTTGTTCGACCCGTGAAAACCGTCCAACCTGAACTGCTCGCACCTATTTGGGCGGTTTTGCAGAGTTGTTAGGATCGGATGTGAGTTAGGATTTTCTTATTTTGCAGGTTGCGGATGGGCACACTCACCCATCCGCATCTATATATATATATATATATATATTTTTTTAAAATTCTAAACCGTCAAATTTTCTTGTAAGTTTTGTAAGTGTGTAACCATAATCTTTTCTTTTCTCCCTCACTTCACTCAGCAACAGTAGAGCAGCAACCCCTTCTCGCTTCTCTCCCTCTTTCTCTTTCTCTCTGTGTATTGACCAACCGGCGATTGGCGAGTTGATACACTGAAAACCTTTGGCCGGCGGGAGTAGAGCTACAAACCTTCGGCTGCAAACCTTTGGCGAATCAGTAAGCCCCTCTCTTTTTGGATATTACGACTTGTATGAACAATCAAACATAAAAATATGGACTAGACTCGCATGTAAATTCCTCTAGTTATTTTTATTCTATTTTATTTTTGTGTTTTGATCATCATATTGCATATTTTTTTTTTCTCATGTTTTATTTATTTTTCAATTTTTTATTTTCCTTTCATCTTCTCCTTAGGCCGATTTGTATTCTATTCCATTAATCTTGCCTTTGAAAAAAAAAAAAAAAAATGGGAGTTACTGAATTTAATTGATGTTGTCGGTTTGATAATGTTGTTCAAAGTGTGTTTTGTTGTGTCTGGTAGATGTAGCATTACATACAGTACGCTGGCAAAGACATGAATAAATGAAGAAGAAGAAAAAGAACCACTGACACAACACATGGGACCCGAAGATGCATTGTTAGGAAAGTGGGATGAAATTATGGAAATGATGAAAAAGGCTAAAAAAAATATTTAAAAAATGGAGAAAAACAAATCTAAAAATAAATTTTTAAAGGGAAAAACCCAATCAGCAAACTATCCCCAACCGCCCGCACATTCGCAAATCTTATCCGTACAAACCGTGACCCGTACTGCAAACGGTTTGTGGGTTCAATTTTTCCCAAACTATAGACATGCAAGTGGGTCCAAACCGGAAACCGAGCCATCAAAAACCAATCCACGAGCATCCTTAGCAAAGATAATGAGTGTAGTATGTTAGATTATAATGATGAAAATGATGAATGTAATGTGTCATATTATAATGATGAAGATGAACAGTGTTGGATGAGTGTCGGAAGAGACATTTGTTCTAAAAAATATAATGTATAGGTGATGGTATGTAAAGAGAGATTTGTGTTTTCAAATATGAATTATTTGAATGAGTATACATGAACCCATATTGTCCTTAATAATCATTTTACTTGAAGATATTATTATTATATAAATTTAATGGTTAAATAATATGTATTAAGAAGATTTATGGTGTGTAAATAAAATCTTCTCATTCCATATACCATATATTCCAATTATAATCCTGACTCAAATTTTATACGCACACCATTCCATCCACCTTCAAATCAAAACCCTAATTCACATACATTCCACTAATTTTCTCTTACTCCAATGCTTTAGTCTTCTCTCATCCCATCTCCTCCCAAATTTCGAGCCACGATGTCATCAATGTTGTCATCGAGCTGGAGCTTTGTTCAAATTGGCCCTACACTAAGCCCAGATCCATATATTAAAGGAAAATCCTATAAGTCCTAAATTTTTTTACTAAATAAATAACCAAATGTCTCACGTGGGTGTAGACTCCATACTCATTTAAGACATTTGATCATTTATTTGGTAGGAAAGTTAGTATCTCTAGCATTATCCTATATTAAAACAATAAGATTGATGAATTTAATATTGATATAAATTGATCTAGATCTAGCTAAAATATATATATAACTATGAAGATTGATAGGGCTATTTTAGATGCTGATGAGTCATTGTGGAAATTGGGCAATTGAGTTCGTTACGCTTTGTTTATTAGTTGATTGTCGCATCAATGGTTGTGTGTTTTCTTGTTTGATTACGGAGAAAATGTGTAATGAGAAAAAATCTTAAACTATAGAATCTGAACTCAGAGAGTAAAGTAATATCAGATGAGTAAAGTAATATCAGATATTTTATGCAAGCAATAGAGGACAATAGAATGTGTAGCAAGCCCTGGAGGACAATAGAGAAAGTGAGAAATAATGGACAAACAAGGTTTTAATTTTTTTTTTCCTTCTAAAAAAGAGAAAATTAAGATTTTATATTGTGTATTTTGATGTCCATTATGATCATTTTGTTTTATGGTAAAATTATCATTAAAATTTTATTTCATTAAGTGTGTACACAGAAATAAAAAGGCATGTAAAAATACCCTTTCCTTAATTTCCCATAATTATTTTTTGTTTTAGTCAATTGAAACACCCTCTCCTAACTTGAAGGGCAAAATTATCTTTTGATATTATGTCTAAAGAGTGTAGGAAGATAAAAGGAGAGTGCAAAAAGAACTAGGTAATAGCTCATTCCTATCCCCCCTCCCTGCCCTTTTTCCTTTTCTTGAACATCCTTATTCTTAGGGCAGCTTAGAATGTAAGTGGATTGAGAAAAAGTTTAAGATTTTTTATTTATTTAAATGTTTTATCAATTTTGTCAGAAGCCGTGATTCCAATACTTTTTATCACATTGGCTTATATTAGGAATCCACTGATGACTTGAAAAGAAGAAAACCAATGCAACAATTCTGTCTGGAAAATTACTTTCGAACAGAGAAGAAAAATCAAAACTATTTGTATAAAGAGGCAGAGATCATTTTCAATTTGTACTCGGTCAATCATCAATGTAACAGTTCTTTCTCGGAAAAGTTAATGTACCTTAAAAAAAATCTCAAAAATGAAAAATATAGTGTGGAATCAAACTTGATTGGTGTAAGCTACACATTAAACATATTAGATCCAAAGATTTCATTTTCGAATATTTCTCACTCTTTTGCTTTTCTACCAATCAGTAAGCTTTGGAAAATCAAAGGGTACCAAAGAAGAAAGAAGCCAGTAACCATTCAACTAATCCAATCCATGTTGAACTCAGCCAGTTGTATTATCTGATAAGGTTTTTGGGAATGAATGATCTTAGAAAAACGAATTACTGACCTCTCATAATTGCATTGAAAAGGAACTTTCAATTGAATTCAGATCGTTGACAACCATTTTCCTTGAAGTTAAAAATGAAGGTAATGAAGAGAGTAATAATTCAGATCACTGCCTAATAAATCACCAGAAAAGTGGAGAAAAACAAACTTGCCTGCAGATGTTGCAGGATTACAACAGCAATGAGAAACCGGCTAAACAAATATACACCTCGGACAAATGTTAAAAACGTTGGTCTGCCACTTCCATCTTCTTCGGACAAAGCCTGCAAGGAAGTTGAGTAGAAGGAAGCTAACTTTCTCCATTTGCAAATTGGAATGGAGGATAGCAGAATACCTAAAGATAGGAAGGTTTTATGATTGAAGCAGCCGCTCTCCTATGTCAAAAAATGCAATAATTGGCTTTCTCATATTTTCCCAGCAAGATTTGGACTTTCGCCAATGAGATTGGTTGGGTCAACAGGACATTAGAATCCATGTAATAAAAGAAATAATCAACATTGATAATTTCTAAGAATAGAAGATATAAGTCTTCACCACTAATTCTAACTCGTGGCATTGTCCAAGCCAAAGTTGTTTGGACAACACCATGAGAAACCATCCTGCTGGAATCTAACTGAGCAACAAACATTCTCAATTACTAGCATCATAATTAGCAATGCAATCCCACATCAAAACAAGGTCTACTCAATTTAACACAAATCAATTAAACCCGTAATCAAATGCTTGCCCACAACACGAATTGGGAAAATATTAGATCACACCGAGTTTGGATTCTCTCATGTTAGTCATCTTAATTTGAGAGTGGGTTTGGGCTTGGTAAGCCCATTTTGGAACCCATTTTGATGATCCGAATTATTCACTTTGTAAAACTTATTAAGTAGAATATTCATACAAAAAATCAAGATAATTAACCATCGATAGCTATATGTTTGAATCAAATTTGTATTACAAAAAATGAATGGTTGTTTTTGAAGTCATATTTATCGCCCATTTTTTTAAAAACAAATATGATTCAATGATATCTAATCATCTTGATTTATTGCATGAATATTCTACTCAATTAATTCTAAAAAATGAACGGTTCAGATCATTGAAATTGATTTCAAAATGGGCTTACAAAGTCCAAACACTCTCTGAAGTTGAGATGACAACTTGAGACAAGCCAAACCCTTTACAACAATCATACATTTGAATTAGAACATGCAAAGGCAATGTATACAATCACACCAAGACTCAGTTCAATAAGTTCATTATTCTTATTACTCAATCTTAACCCCACAACAATGAAAACACGAAATAAACACGAAAAATCAAAATCCACAGATAAATTTCCCTCACTAATTTCTATCAAAGTCCCAATCTTTCTAGCAGTTATAAAACAGAATCACTACGGACTAAATCTACAACACATGTAATGTTACAATAACAAATGGAGAGCTAGAGAATATCATCATAAGCAACAATTTCTCTACCCTTGAAAGACACATCTAATCCCGAATCACTATTGTTACTTCTAGGGTTCACAAGAGCTGATCCAAGCTTATTACCTCTTCCATGTCTGCTCAGAGGCACTTCAGCTCTCACAAGCTTCGACGACGATGACGAAAACGAATCAGTACTATCCTTATGCTGTGGCACATCATCAGTAGCCCACGTTACCTGTACCTACAACAACAAAACCTTTATTTCAAAACCCTAAATTGCTACAAATATATATATATACACAGAGAGAGAGAGAGAGAGAGAGAGAGAGAGAGGGTACCTTGTTGGAATCGAGGGTGATGCCGAAGGAGGGGTCGAGGGAGGCGGCAATAGCGGACTCGGCAGAGGATTTTGAGCGGAAGGTGATGTAGGCGACGCCGCCGTGGTGGATCGTGGTGCGGGATATGGAGCCGTAGATCTGGAATCGGGATTTTATGTCTAGCAACGAGCAGTTCGGGGAGAGGCCGATCGCCACCACCGTCGAGGGGGATTTGGCGGCGGAGTTCTGGTGGCAGTCGTCGGAGGTGGCGGAGGGGAGGAGGGGTGGTGAGAGAGGAGAGGTCGACCGCCGTATTAGGAAAGAGTAGGGAACATGGCGGGAGGTGTAGGGTTTGTCTCTCTTCCGACTCATCATTTTTTTTGGGGAGAGAGAAAATTTGGGAGTAGTTGGGTAAATATTTTCAAAGTCTGTTTTTAACATATTTTTACACAAAATCAAATAAAAAAATATTGAGGATATTAATGACTATATTTATTTTCAGTTTTTTAAAAATATTTTTTAGAAAATTTTACTTTTTATTTTTCGTATTTTTTTTGTTTTTATTGAATTTTTTAAAATATTTTTAGTAGTTTTTTTAATTATTAGACACGCCTAATAAAAATAAAAATATAATTTTCGTAATTTTTTAAAAAAAAAATTCACTAAATATTAAAAATACAAAAAAATATATAAAAATTCAGTATATTTTTCATATTTTTTTGTATTTAATAATTTTTATAATATTTTTCACAATTATTTTACTTTTTAGATACATCTAAGTAAGGAAAATTATTTATAAGTCCTATTATGGAAACTTATGCTACATATGGTCCTACTAAAAAACTTATGTTTCCATAAGTCCTGTGTGAAGTTTGTTAACACATTTACCCTCAATATTAGTTGTTAATATCATAAATAATGGTAAAATCATATATAGGAAATTGAATGTTACTGTAGATTAAGTTTGCGAAACGTAACGTGACACCTACATAAACGTAACGTTAGGTGTCACGTTACGTTTCGCAAACTTACTAGGTTTTTTATTTTTTAAATTGAATGTGAAAATGTTACTTGTTCGTGTATTTTGAAATTCACATTCATATAGATATGATCTACGGTAATATTCAATTTCTTATATAAGAAATTCAGTGTTACCATAGATTAAGTTTGCAAAAAGTAACGTGACATCTACATAAACATAACGTGATGTGACACCTACATAAACGTAACGTAACGTAACGTGTCACGTTACGTTTCACAAACTTACTAGGTTTTTGATTTTTTAAATTGAATGTGAAAATGTTACTTGTTCGTGTATTTTGAAATTTACATTCATATAGATATGATCTATGATAATATACAATTTTCTATATATTATTCTGCCATTATAGTGTATAATAGTATATTAATACCATTTATTTACAACTCATAGGATCTTGTGGAATACATTCCTATCTAAATAGGACTTGAAACTCTATAAAAAATTACACAAGACTTAACATAGCATAAGTGTCCGAAATGTGACTTATAAATAAGTCTCCCATCTAAGTAAGGTGCATCTAAAAAAATTAAAAAAAATACTGAAAATTTTTTTAAAAAAAATATTAAAAACAAAAAAATACAAAAAATAAAAAATTTAATTTTCAAAAAGTTAAATTCAGAAAACTAAAACCAAACATACTGAACAACATTATTAACAAGTGATATTACATCCCTTAATTCTGTTTCTCCAATTTTATTGGCCTACTTACATATGAAGCAATCACACATTCCTTTTCCTCTAATCTTTAGCCTCTTTAATTTCACATTACAGGGGATAAAATTAAGAAAATGAATCATTATTCATTAAACACTAAGGGCTGATTTGACATACCCCAAATAATTTAAAAAGTCAAAAAGTTCTTAAAAAGGTTAAAAAGTTATCATTATTCATAAAAAAAAAAATAATTTTACACAAAAATTATTACAACTCAGTCTGACGTCCCACAGACTTTTGCTAATTTTTTTGGAAAAACTGCACAGGCGGGGTGCACAAACAACACGATGCTGTTCAGCCCATGGGGGCCCATCACGGGTCCCGTTTTGATAACCTGAACCGTTCAATATATAGAACTCGTTGAGTACGATATAACTATAAAAAATCACGTTGACTGGATATCGTTAACTATATGATCAAATCAGTTTTGTATAAAAAAAAATGAATGGTGTTATAGTTAACGGTTTAAAAAAAAACTAATCCGATCAGATAGCTATCGATGTCCGATCAACGTGATTTTTTACAATGATATAATACTTGATGAGTTCTACACATTGAATGGTTCCGATTAGCAAAACGAGACCCGTGGTAGGCTCCCATGGGCTGAACAGCACCGTTCAATGCAATGGCCGAAAAAGAGGCAACCATTTCTTATATCAAATCACTCTGTCCAGACAGTACGGGCCATACTGCCTACTCTGCCTAACCTCTCCTACACACTAATTTATATAATTTTTTAATACACATTTTTTAGTAAAAAATCAAAAAGTTAACCCAAACAACCTTTTTTTTTCTCAACTTTTTAGGTCAAAAAGTCAAAAAGTGCATTTATTTAGGACATCTCAAACAACCTCTAAGCCTGCATTTCGTTTAGTTTTGGAATTGTGATGCTAATAAAAAAAAATTCAAAACGCATGACCAAACACACAACTCAAAACTCTTTTCAAAACTTTATTTTAGAAAAAAAAAATTAATTTTTTTAAAATTATTTTTAGAATCATGATTTGAGCGTAGAGTCGTATTTTGTGTTATGAGTTTTGAAAAGAGAAAATTTGTTTAGTTTTAAGTTTTAAAAAGAATTTTGAATTGTATTTTAAGTTTTGAGTTTATCTTGAAATTTTTTGAATTTATTTTTTTAATATTTGAAAAAAAATTAGGGTAAATATTTTATGTTTTAAATATTTATTTATTTATTTTAATGTGTACTATATTTCATACATTTGTGTGTTGTATTTTTAAAAAAAATATTTTGAAAATATTTTGTAAATATTTAAAAATTTATAAAAATTTATTTTTTTTATTTTAAATTGTTTATTTTATTCTATAAATATATTTTTAAATATTTTATTTTTTTCATATTCTTTCATATTATTTTATTTTTTCAAATATTTTATTTTTTTAAATTAAAAAAATTAGATCGCCATATATATCTAAATCATAACAAATTATTTGGGCAATACTTAAAAAAATAACAAAAACTATTTTTTGAAAAAATAAAAAACTATTTTTCTTCAAAATTAAAAATAAACAAAATATTTTTTGAAAAAATATAAAATAAAAAATAATTTTAAAGGACAAAATTAAAAATATTTTTGTGAAATTTTTTTCAATGGAATTTTGAAAAAGTTTTGCAAAAAGTTTGGTTATAAGTTTTGAGTTATATGTTTGGTTATGAGTTTTGAAAATAGTTTTTGAATTGAATTTTGAGTTATGGGTTTAGTTATGAGTTTTGAAAATAGTTTTTGAATTGAGTTTTGAGTTATGCGTTTGGTTACAATTTGAGTGTAGAGTTGTATTTTGAGTTTAAAATATTAAAAAAATGAAAATATTTACAAAATAAAATAAAGTATTTAAAATGAAAATATTAAAAAATATTTAAATAACAATTATACATTTAAAATAAAAAAAAAATTCTTAAACATTTTTAATTATTTAAAAAAAAATCAAAAAATTTCAAAATACAACTTAAAATTCAAAAACTCAAAACTCAAAATACAACTCAAAATTCTTTTCAAAATTCAAAAACTTTTTTCAAAACTCTTCGCAAAATTCATAACCAAACACATTTTCTCTTTTCAATACTCAACTCATAATTGCACATTTAAATCACAACTTCAAATTCAAATTATAATTTCAAAACTTTCTTTCATTTTAAGGAGATGTTTGGCAACGGAATAAAAAAAAATTATAAGGTCAAAAAATCGCAAAATTATTTGTTATAAACTAAATAAAGAGGTTTTTTTTTTAGGGTCCCTGGTATTAAGACTTTATAGTATAAAGGACATATAATATTTTCATAATGTCTCAAGTCCCTCAATTTGATCCAGGGAAATTCTGCTTCAGAGAAATTCTGGTACAGAGAAATTCTGTCCAGAGTAATTCTCTCCAACCTAGAGAAATTCTATGTTTCTCTCCAATCCAGAGAAATTTCTCTGGACCTCTGACAGAATTTCTCTGGACCTCTGAAAGAATTTCTCCCTACAGAACTAGAATTTCTCTGGGAGGTTTCTCTATTTCTCTAGACCTCCCAGAAAATTTTCCAAAGAAAATTTACACAATGGCCAAAATCCCAAAGAATTTCTCTAGATAGAAATTTTGTTCAAATCAGAATTTCTCTAGTCCAAACACACACCATATATATACGTAAGAGTACCAATTCTGTTATGTGTCTGTGTATGTGTGATAAGTAAAGTATATCATTCTAAATTTAACAAGTAACACTAGTTCAACTATGCACAACTTAGCAGCACAAATACACATAGGTACAAAAACCAATTTAAATTCAAATCTTCATCAAGTTGAATTGAGTGGTCTAGATTGAAGCTAGAACAGGTTTCAAATTATTAGTGTTTGATGGAAAATAAGGCATCTTTTAATCAATATAGTGGTTGTAATTAAATGATCTTGGAGGTTAAATGGTTTTACATATCAAACTTGAAAAAAAATGCAATCATTTTCATTATCATCAAACAATTTTCAGTAACATACACTGCAAATAACTGAAATAGCAAGTAGTAGACATTCGAAAGCAAAAGAATATGTTTAATTGGGGAGACATTAACAATTGATTCTACAAAATACATAGAATTATGAAGAAATCTACTCACTTCAGTATAGAAGATAGAAGAAAAATATCTTTAAGAATTTCTCTGGATCACTTTAAGCCAGAGAAATTCTCTCAAAATCAATGAAATTCCTAAAGAAATATTTCCAGAGAAATTCTCTTTAACCCAGAGAAAATTCAATTCAAATAAAAAAAAATTCAGTCCAAACCAAAGAATTTCTCTGGACCAATCCAGAGAAAATTTAGTTCAAATCAGAATTTCTTTAGTCCAAACACACACCATATATATACGTTAGAGTACCAATTCTGTAGAAAAATATTGTACTGTTACGCTACACCATATATCAGAATTTCCCCTCTTGCTATCAGATTCTCAATGGTGTCTTCATCCGCCTTCTGTCCCGTGACAGTGAAGTACCTTCGCTCCACTGTTTCCTTGTATTCATCCGCCATTTTGCCTCTCAACCCTTGAAAATCATCCATTATGTCCTTGAGTTTCTTTCCCAAACCACTAACTACAGAAATCCGAGTTCGATCCGCAGATGACCCTAGACCGCAACGGGGAAGTTTACGGTGAGCTGCATTAGACTGTTCTAGACCTTCAAGCTTCTTCATGATGACCTTGACCCATTTTAAGACCTGGCTAACATCCGAGTCCATTCTGGCTCGAAGCTCCTTCATGGTTTTGGCATTGTGGATAGTTTTGCTCTCTTCATTGGATTCCTGCAACTTCTTGTAGAGTTTTTTAACGTCTCTCATGTCTTCCTTGACATTCTCGACATCCTCGAAAAACCTATTGAGGTTGCCTTCCTCGTTTCCAGCTTGTCTAGGGCTGATGATTCAGAGTTGGGATTTGGGGGTAGGGTAGACGAAGATCTTGAAGCTTTTGTTCATTTGGTTGTAGGAGAGAGAGAGAGAGACAGAGAGAGAGGAATCGTGGGCAAAAGTCAAATTTCTCTGATATATGCTTACAGACTTTAGACATCAAAAAATAATTTTGTGGATCTCTTCCATTACGAAAAGTGGAAGAGGGACCCTAGACTAATTTTCCCCTAAATAAATGAAATGTTTCCTTATCTTTATTTTTTTTATGTCAAAAAAAAAATTTAGCAACTTCTCAAATTTATTAATTAAAAAAGGTTTGGATTTCTTTCAAGTGTACATCTCAATTTGAGAGAATTTGAGAGATCTACTACAGGTCTCGTTTTGATGATATGAACTATTTATTTTATAGAGTCTTCTGTATATATCATCTATGAAAAATATAAGATTGATTCCATAATCATAGTCTTTTTATTTCACTGTGTTTATTTCTAATAAAAATGATGGTCTACTTTTTAAAAATAAATTGTCCTTTTCATTAAAAAATGTAATAAAATGAAAATGTTACAATTATTAGATCGATTTAATTTTTTCATAGATGATATATATTAAGGGTTTTACAAAATAAAATTTTCAAATTATTAAAATTGAACATGTGATGAACTCGATGAACTCCTTTCGTTCTTTCAAAGTTAAAATGTGAACTAGAAAAAAGTACACAACCCTGAAGAAACTACTAAAAAAATTGGGTAAATTAAATTTTGCCCCTTTTATGTTTGATCACTTTTTCACTTTGGCTATTGAAGTTTGTTTTTTCGTACTTTAGCTCTTCATGTTTCAAGTTTTTCCTAGTTAACTCTTAAAGCTCACTTATGTTCAAAATTAAACATAAAATGTCACAATAACTGTCACATGACATAAAAAAATATATTATTATAGGGGGTTTAAATTTATGTTAGATATGTAATTTACATATGATAAAATATTCTTATACCACATGACTATCGATGTGTTATTTTCTGTCTAATTTTTAATAAGAATTAGTTTTAGAAGTAAAAACGCCCCAAAATAATTAGCATTAACCCATCTCATAACAGTGCTACAATTGATCAACAATCTCATAACTTCTATTCATTATTTCTTTGATCATTGCAAAAGATGATTATGCAATATGTATTCACAAATTATAAATTCTGAATCAATAACATATGGCATGGATACAAGAGTAAAAAGAGAAGTAAAACTAAGTAATGAATTGTCTTAATGGTCACAACTTTTCAAGACGATACTTGATTACAACAAAATGAGTTTAAACTCAATACAAGTAAGCCCAAGGCTTAAACAAAAAACAATTACATCAAGAAACCAAAAATGAAGCCTTAAGCTCCAAGTCCTCCCAAGCTACATCCTTGGTGGAGGCATATTATCAGCACCTAAAAGTTGTTTTTTACATAGGGTGAACCAAAGCCTAGTAGAGATACTCTAACACAATGTATGAATCTTAGCATAATTATAAGGTGAAATGCACATGCATGCCATTTGTCAAACATTCCTCGTTTTCCATCTCAAAACAATGCAATGTAAGATTATAAATCAATTTATGAAAATCCTTTTATAACAAAAAATAGGGCAATGGATACAAAACACTGGGAATCTCTAAGTACGTGTCTGCCAGTAGGCCACATAAGCATTATCAAATCCATTTTACCAGTACTAATCGGAAGGATCGTTACCTAACTGCACGGGTGTTCGGACTTTCATTAAGGACACACAAGCCAACATCATCACCACAACCACACCCTCTAACGAGATTCACCAAGGTATTCACCTATTTTTCTCAAAATTAATACATTTACAATGTTCAATAGGAAATTATGCTCAATGCACAATGTATGAGGAAATAGTTTCAATTCAACCTAATCCTCATGCAATGTCTACAACAATTAAGACTATCTTCTACTGATAGTCCAAAATAGGAATTTCTAATCAAAAGATACAATTTCATCAATTACAATAGGAGTGATACTACATATCTAACTCCACCATCATCATCAATATAAACATTGTTCTAATTTCACAATACCTAACATAATTTTCCATTTCCATTCACAAATCCAAATATCCAAAATTTAGGGCAAAATCTCATTTTCCTACAAAGTTGATTTTAAGAAAAGATATCCGCCATTTTAACCCATCTCAACCATACATACATATATATATATATATATATTCCCATAATCATTTTCAAGAGCCCATTTGGAAAACCCCTCTTTTGATTTCAAACTCAAACTCTACGTTTTCTTAAAAATCTCCATATCAATAACCATTTTCAAAGAGCAAATAACTAAGCTAAAAATCATATAAAAGAGTCAAAGAAATTCTTACCTTGAAATAGCAGACAAGAAGAAATAATGGGTAGAACTTGACGCAGCCGAAAACACTAACTTCTATTAGAACGAAGCCCTCGATGTGCTCTATCTTTTATTCCAAAAGACTAGAGTGAAGAAATCAATGGATTGAGAGTATTTGAAGCTAGAGTACAAGAACTCGAGAGAGAAGGTAGAGGTTTTAGGGTTTTGAAATGTTGAGAGAGAGAGAGAGAGATGAAAAAGTGACTCAAAATGGCTTTTTCTCGAACTAATATATGCGCAGACCGCTCGGGCGACCAAAACACCGCTCGAGCGAACAGACATAATAAGTGACACCGCTCGAGCGACCAAAACAACCGCTCGAGCATACAATGAGCCCCTTTTAGTAGTTTTGCAGATTGTAAAATATCGTTCGAGGGCAAGAAGTGTCTCTCGAGTGCAGATATCACACTTCTAGTAGTTTTACAAACTATAAAAGACCACTCAAGCACAAAAAAGACTGCTTGAGCGAAGAAGCAAAAATCTGGTAACAACTCTTGGAAAAAGTAAATTTCCAACCTGTTTCAAACGCAACCAAAACTCCCAATTACCAATCTCAACAAGCAAAAAGATGGAAATGAGACAAACAACAATAAGTACACGGGTTCTCGGATTTAAAAGCAAGAAAATTAGTCGGGTCTAAACCAGAATCGTTATAATCTCCCCCCTTAAAGAATTTCGTCCCCAAAATTTAAAATTAACTAACATTCATTGAGATAAAAACCAATCACATATCATCCGAACTTGTAACAAGGATACACCGAGTTGTTTAACATCAACTATTATTATTCAATTCTCCAAAACATGTACAATGTTTATATATATATCACAACATAAATGAAATTTCCAACACAAGTCTCAAATATCAACAAATAAGTCCGGATACTTCTCACGACTTCTGTCTCACACTCTCAAGTTACTTCCTCAACCCCGTGGTGTCGCCACAACACCTTAACCAAAGGAATAATCTTACCTCGCAAAACTTAGTCTCGAGAGTCTAAAACTCGTACCGATCTCTTCTTATATGAGGCATTCTCATCTACCTCCAACTCAGTCCAATCTAACACATGCGAAGGATCTGACTCGTACTTCTAGAGCATACAAATATGAAATACCTCATGAACCTCGAAAAGTTGGGCTGGCAAGGCCAAACGATATGCTACCTTCCTGATCCGCTCTAGAATCTCAAAAGGCCTAACAAATCTAGGAAACAACTTCCCTCTACTTTGCAAATCACATTAAACCCTATCTCGGTGATATCTTTAGGAATACGTGATCTCCTACCTCAAAAGATAAAGGTCTCTTCCTACGGTTGGCATAGCTCTGAGCCGAAACCAACCTCTTATGGATAAGCGCAACCTTCTTAGTCATTTCCCGGACTAGTTTAGGACCTAACATAAATGCGTCACCCACTTCGGCCCAACACACTGGAGATCTACACAGTTGGCCATATAAGGCCTCAAATGGCGCCATACCAATACTCGCTTGAAAGCTGTTGTTATAGGCAAACTCCACTAAAGGTAAATGCCTCTCCTACGACCCCTTAAAATCCAGAATACAACCCTGAAGCATGTCCTCTAAGATCTGAATGGTTCACTTGGATTGCTTGTCAATCTGAGGATAATAGGCGGTGCTAAACGTCAATCTAGTGCCTAAGGCATTCTGTAGGCTCTGCCATAACTGATTCGTTAAGGGAGGATCTCTATCCGAAATGATAGTCACAATGACCCCATGAAGTCGAACTATGTCCCTAACATAAAGGTCGGCAAGACAATCTACCGAGTCACTTGTGCGCATAGGTACAAAATGTGCTGATTTAGTTAACCGGTCGACTATCACCCACACGACATCATTACCTCGTTGAGTCCTCGGAAGACCCACAACAAAATCCATCATGACATGCTCCCACTTCCACTAGGCTATAGGTAACCCGTTGGTCGCTGATGTTCGGCCTTCACTTGCTGACAAGTAAGGCACCTCAAAACAAACAAGGCTACGTCTCTCTTCATCCTTCTCCACCAAAATTGACGGCCAAGGTTGTGGTACATTTTCGTGCCTCTCGGGTGTATAGCAAGGCGTAAATGGTGAAACTCTCAGAGTACCTCCTCTCTACAAGATTATGGCATGAAAAGACAGTCCAAATACCTCACACTCAAGTTAGAGTGAACGCTCAAGCCCTTCTCTATATTTCCACTAGTTATCTTCCCTCTGGTAATCTCTATTTCGTGATCACCACTTTGTGCTTCTATAACTCGGCTTACTAGCGTAGGTTGTGCAACTATAGTGAACAAAACGGCCGACTCAACGGACTCACCAAGATGCAAGTCAAACTCGCCAATAGCACTCAACATCTCCCATTCTCGGATGGCAATACTAGTTACACTGCTTATTGACTTCATATTCAAAGCGTCGACCACTACATTGGCCTTTCCCGGATGATAGTGCAACTCAAACTCATAATCCCCCTTAAACTCCATCCACCTCCTCTGTCTCAAATTCTTCTTTTTTTTTTTTTTTTTTTTTTTTTTTTGTGAAAATAGATACTTCAAACTCTTGTGATCGGAGAACACCACGAATCTCTCATCATATAAGTAATTCCTCT